ATTTATTTATTTATTATCTGGAACATCCCATTGGACACTTCCAAATATGAAGTGGAATGCATGAGTCCTCAGACGAATAATGATGTAGAAATCTGATCCAGCTTATCTTATGTAGTATACAGTGAATGCAATGGATCCACTACCCAAGACTTCGAACACTTCTCTCATTCATCATGTCCGTTACTGACATGTTTCAAAGACAGGTCAAGTCGCGCTCCTGGCAAGATGCGAGTACTATTTACTTCAACTAGAATACTTACGATTTATTATAAAGCAACACGATATGTACCCCCGAATGCAAAAATAGTAAAATATATATATATATATCTCAAATTTGCTACGAGCACCGTAGAGGTCGGTAAATTATAACCACATAAAGTTATCCGAGCAGATTCACCGAGATTTATCTCTCAGATATAAATGGATACAATATATCGCGAATTATTGATTGATGCCCCTCCCCAAGTTGCTTTGAAAACTCGTTTTGTGTCTTATTCTAATACTGGTTTACTGACTAGGGACTGTGAGAGATTCTTCTCTCGCCCCTGCTAAGCCTCCAGCGCCCAAACTGGCCCCCTGGTGTCCGAACATCGGGCTTAAAGGTTCAGGTGATTTTCGCCCCGCTCTCTTTCCCATGATATTGCGTAGTGAAGTGGCGCTGGCCGTGCGTTGGTGCTTGCCCTTGACATGCTCGCCAATCGGACTAGGCGCTGCAATTGCACTCGACGGTGTGCTCCCCTTCGGCGTCTGTTGTGAGCCCTTACCACCATCATTAGCACTGTGCAGCGACATCGTATCAGATGGCCGGGCGCCACCGTTTAACGAAAGGCCACCCGAGGTTACAGACCCTGGGCTATTCTTGTCGTCGGGTAGCACGTCGCCCCGGCCCTTCGGAACTCGTAGTGATTTAGTAGTGTCCAAATGGTTCAATCGAACGGTCCCCAACACGCGCTCAGGTAGCTCTTCTTCGGCCTGTGCCTCGATGATAAACGCAATGTCCACCACCAGCGATTTGGTCGCACCCACTACCATACCAGTGATGTTTCGGGCGTGAGAATCGGAATTGACATCAATGTCCACCTGTTAACAAAAAGGGGAGCGATAACTCTTTAACGTTTGCATTTTGACTATTTTGTTCGAAAAGTTGCGGTCGCTTGCTTTGGACGTGACGTGATGTGATTTCATGGATGGCAGTAGCTTACCTCAAACCAATTTTCTCCACGAAAGTATGGATTCGTTAGTCCTTTGTTCCCTATAATCGCTGGTTTTGCTCCTAGAACTTTCCGCAATAAGTAGCTGTCAGATCCAAAAGAAATGGAAGTCAAGCTGAGTCTAAATCTGATTATTGTCCACACATAATACATATGTCTTGACAAGGAACCGAGTATGACATATCACGCTCTAGGCACTACGACTGCTAATGGGTAGAAATCTACATAATCGATTGGTACATACCTTCCATCAACGATCTTCGGTATTAACTTAAATCTGCTATTCCTGAATGCATCGTCTCCGTCTACAAAGTCGCTGAAGAGGTCCTTGAACTCTGAATTCTCTTCGCGCCAGTTTGCATGAGTTGGTTGGTAGTAGCACACAAATGCTATGTTGTCTGTGCATGGAATGATCTGGATGGGGGATACGCACGATACTAGTTGACAAATGTGCCGCGAACAATGGTAAAATTCGCGAGCGCAACACTGATGGGCTCATAAAATGCGCATAATATGACATACCATATTTACGATGAATGTAAAGGGAACCTTAGTGCCGTTTTCCAAAGCCTCCTTTTCCACCTTTCTAACCAAACTATCTGAACGAGACGAAAGGTTTATTCGTTCTGCCGGATCCTCGAAACTGAACAGGTCTACGCCCACCTACAAGTAGGGACGTAGAAAGTATGATTAGTGTCATGTGATGTATTTGGTACAACGATGAAAACCGAAGGAATCAAGAAAAGAAAATAAACATCGGCGCATTTCCTCAACGCTCGTGTATATACCAAATGAAATACTGAAGTGTCCGCCGTCATCTTCACCTTGTCCTTCAGATAGTGAGGACCTCGCACACTGAACTGTATTCAAAAAAAAATCAAGATGAATAGAATAAGTAGCGTACTCGATGTGTAGCGATTAACACAAGGCACACCTCAGGAATTGTTCCAGAGCCACTAACCTGGGAACCGTCCGGCTCCGCCCATGTGTGCGGCTGACAGCTGGTGGGGTACTTCTTGACCCCTACAACCAATCCCTTGTTATCGACACCTGTTTGACAGACAAGATCAAGATCAAAATGAATACCTCCGTCGGCGAACTGGTACGTGAAGCATCCTTCCGTGATTTCTCACGAAGCAGACGGTGCATGTAGAGGATGGAATAGTAGACATACCGATATTAGGCACTATTTCGGCAGTCGAATCCGTACTTGCTTGTGGTTCTATCGTAATCGATGGATCGATAAAGTCTGGCGCTTGTACGCTGTCTTTGAGTCGACGGAGGGCTTTCATTAACGGAAGTACATATCTAGTGGAGTGAAAATAATTCACCATGATGGAACCCCAGCTTCCCGGATCGTAGCCAATAATCATAGTGACCTGTGGATCGTATTATCATGAAAACTTCTTAGTCTTGTAGACATGTGCGATAAAGATGAGCATATTGAATTCCCGAACAAGGATTATGCTAGCGATAATATTAACCGCTACTATTAACTCAATGACTGGTGCGGCCTTGTGTGAGATATTGTTATAGTAGAAGAATCCACCAAAACCAGTCCGCAACCTACCATACACCGAGGGTTCTTTTGACTGCGAAGCTCTGGCTTGACAGGATATACCACTACGGCAGATACGGGCACAGACGCCCGAATGAACTCCGGTCGAGGCGGCGCCTTTGCAGAGGTTGTGCTTTGAAACAAAATCACAAAACTGCCATCCTCTGGTGCAGGAAGAAGTAAGGAAATCGAAACAGGGGATTAGTATAGTGCTTGTAATGATTTTTCTGCATTGAAAACCAAAGAGATGTTCTAGACACCATACCTTCTTTGCGCCAATAGCGCATCACAACTATGTCACGTGGCTCAGAGTATCCTAGACCGCACCAAACCGGTAGCAAATCATAGCGCATGACACTGGCGTATTCATTGATCTTCTCTATCTCACACCCACCGGTCTGAAATCCAAACACATTCCCGTCGATAAGTGTCGATACCACTCGCTCCGTACCCGCCATCATCGCCTACAGGGGAGGAAGAATGCGTAGATAAATACTTCGCGGCTTTCCTGGTGGTGTAAGCTGAAATGAAACATGCGGTAGATGTGCGTTCATGATATCACTTCTGTATAATGGTCGAATATCGAGCCCTGGAGTGTTTTCCAAGACCGGCTACCTTCGTTAAAGGGTGGAGCGGGATCGTACCTGATGAGTCATGTAGTTTGGTACAGTGCCATCCTTCGTCTCTAAGCGGCTCACTCGCAAGTATATGACCAAGCTTGTTGCTGCCAATGAGGCAAACACGGACAAAAACACGCTCGCTCCTAGTAGTAGCAATCCCGTTAATGTTGCAAAGGCCACAGCAGATATCATCACAACAAGATTGTTGTGTTCTCGTGCTACTTTCACATTCATACTGTGCTCTCCGTTGTGCTGTCGATAGAGTGGTATGCCATCTGGCGTTCCCTGAAACACCCATGGTGCTGTTCGAGATTTCCCATGCGCAAAATAAAAATGGAACGGCATGAGACACTGCCCAGTATTTTTATTTCTTAAGGTGGTTGGAAGAAACGTGCAACAAGGGTTGTAACACGAACACGGTATAGTCATCGACCAGTTGCATAGTAGATGTGGAAATCGATTCGGAGGCTCGCCTGTGTGGAATTTCAAATTGGCTCACATGATGGATATGCTCGTGTATAATATCTTTAACTGTTCATTGGCAACATGCAACATGAGAACTGTTGTGAAGTTATTGTTTTCTACTACTCCTGTATCCTTTCAGAAAAGAACACCGGATTCGACAACACGCAGTATAAATTGCCTACACGGATCCGAGGATGAATATGCAGCCACTTAAGTAACTACCGCTGAGATCTTAACTTACCACCAGACCACTCGTACAATTTACTTACAGGATTCCTGCACGTATCCTGGTGTCAGCGCCCCTTGCCCTGTATAGCTATTATTCGGTTTTTCAGACAATTTATTGGCCTCGAGAAGACTTTGTATTTGTGCAGGGGTGTGCTGAAGGCCTTCTGCCTTCTGTGGCACACTGTCCTTCTTCTTCTCTTTTGCATGCGCGCAGTTTTGAACGGCCTCTGTGATGTTCTGAGTATTCCGTTGTATCAAACAGTCAGTGAACACGAACCGAAAAACCGGCTATACGGTAAGGGATCATAATATTAACTTGTACATGCCAGTTGAATAAATATACGAGTGAACATTGCAGAACATGAGACTCCCAGAGTCATGAATACAACCTTGGCTTTTCACGTCAGTACCAACGAAATTCGAACGCGAACGGCTGAGAAAGGGATCGAGCAGTAAATTGACGAAATAAACATAAACAGTATATACATGTATATATACGCATAGATACGAAT